GCCGTCTCCAGCCATTATGAATAAGCATGCGTAGTTAGAATGTTTCCCCAAGAAAAACCGCGCATGCGCATTATTCGCTCGACGACAAACACTCTGCCCGCGGTAGAGAGCTGCAAAGCTCAGTGATCAAGTCGTTACAACTGCTGTATGAAACAAGAAGTAACAACAAAAGGGGAATGTAAATATACTTTACTAACCATTTTGTACAACAGAATGGCCCGTCATGGCCAAAAGGTTAGGGCGCTCGACTCGCAATCTGAGGGTCGTCGGTTCGAATCATCGTCCCGCTAAACATGCTCGCCCTTAACAGTGTTAATTTAACTTTTTATCGAACTTAGGCCTAACATAAGTTAAAGTTTTATAAAGTACGGTCTATATACAAGTGGATTTACATATTTCGTTGTCTGCGATTACAATTCGTTTGTATTGTGCTAGAAATGCTATATTTAAAGAAGTACTGTTACGATAAATTGGCCGGAAATGTTTTGCGGGTCTCTGTTAGTAAATTACAAATAGTATATGCAGTACTATATGTATTACAAATTATACAGTACTATATACATCATAAATTATACACGTCATATTATATTGTTGCGTCAGCGAGGTCACATGACTAGTGTCACGCCACGTTTCTAGAACTATCCTGTACCTTGGCGAATGCTCTAGCATTTACAAGATATAGGGTAGTCTGGTATATAAAAGAGGGTGACAACGTGACGGAATAATAGAATGTGTGTGTAGACAGTGAGTAATTGATCTGCAGTCAGAGTATTATTGAGCACGTTCGTTGTTATAGCGTTTGTTTTAGCGTGATCGTTGAAATTAAGTGTATCGTAAAGTTTTATTCGGAAAGAATAAACCAGTTTTATTAAGTAAGGACTTGTGTCGCTAAAGTTTCGTCGGAACGAAGTTACGGAAAATTAATTAACAAACCGGAGACGTAACAATATTTAATGATCCTCCTTTCCATATAAATTATACAGTACTATATGCATTCTATAGTATGCGGTACTATATACATCTTAAATTATACAGTACTACATGTATTATAAGTTATACAGTACTGTGTACATCTTAAATTATACAGTACTACATGCAGTATAAGTTATACAGTACTATGTACATCATAAATTATACAGTACTACATGCAGTATAAGTTATACAGTACTATATACATCACAATCTGATTGTACGATTTTTAATTTGTATAAACTATATAGAACTATACAAATCATAATACTGTGTTTAATGGTGTTTCTGTTTATATAAACTATGCAATATACAAGTCATATTCTGTTTAGTGGTATTTCTGTTTACATAAACTATACAAGCCATACCTTGTTTAATTATATTTCTGTTTGTATAACCTATGCAAACTATACAAGACATACTTTGTTTAGTGCTATTTTTGTTTATATAAATTATACAAAACTATACAAGTCATACTCTGTTTAATGATATTTCTGTTTATATAAATTATATAGAACTATACAAACTATACTTTGTTTAATGATATTTCTGTTTACATAACTATGCAAGTTATACAAACCATACTCTGTTTAATGGTGTTTCTGTTTATATAAATTATGTAAACTATACAAGTCATATTCTGTTTAATGATCTTTATGTTTATATAAACTATACAAAACTATACAAGCCACACGCTGTTTAATGATATTTCTGTTTATATAAACTATGCAAACTATACAAGTCGTACTCTGTTTAATGATCTATCTGTTTATATAAACTATGAACTTTATTTAACGATGTTACACTCATATAACATGTAAATTGTCTAGACAAACACAGCAGTTCGAGTTAGTTAATCTTGTGACTTTGTGGATAATGTTTCCCTTCGGTCTGTATTGACTGATTAATTGCTACAGCGGAAACTACATTTCTTAAACTCTAGAGTCGAGTAACATATAGAAATTTTATTAAATCACAAGTGAACGTGCTCTAGTATAAAAGTTTCTAGCAGATTAAAAAAAAATCAATTCATAATACCACTGACGTGAGTTGGGGTGATGTGACGAGTTGTTCACAACAGAAAAAAAAATCATGCGTGACCAATAAAAACAAATTAAAATCAATGAAGCAGCTTGTCAATTTTTGTGATGAGAAAGACGAACTATATAAAAACTTTGAAATGTAAACCTTAGATAGTTTGGTTTCACGACTGTAACGTACGAAGTTGTATCATTATCACTCTGCCACCCAAAAGTGCTAGTTATGTTAAAGAAATTAAGGGCATTGACCGGTTTTTTACGTGCCCCCTTCCATTATGGAGCTAAGAAGTAAATATCTGAAAAACTTTGTCATGCCAAGACAAGTTGGAGGATCTATCTGCATTTCTATGGTAGTAATATATTTAATTATATTTTGCTTACTAACTCTTTATTATTGGTAGCAAGTTGTTTTATTCAATATAAAGACAAGCCCATCAGATTTTATCAGCCAATAAGGAGCGTCGCCTAGTTTCCAGCGAATCACACAATGGGGACACGCAAGTGACCTAGATTAATGCTAGCCTCCTCGTTTTACTGACATAAATGTAGTTACCAACATACCGGAAAAGTACCATTGTTTTATATAGTGCTTATGCGTATTATGTGTAAAATTAGTATTGATCGAGTTCGTTCTCACACTTAAAACTACGTGGTTCAAGCCGCTTAAGGAAAAGGACACCATGTTCTTTGCTATTGTTCAGTTGGTATTAGAATTATTGGTGTTGTATGGAAAAGCATTCTTTATGATATTGGAAGGAATATTCCGCCTGATTTTTCCTGTAAGTGAAAAATCTGTAAAAGATGAAGTTGTTCTAATAACCGGTGCTGGCCATGGTATCGGCCGCGAGCTTGCTTTACAATTTGCTAAAAAACAAGCCATTCTAGTGTTGTGGGATATTAATGAGGTATGATTCATTTAACTTTGCTAGTACTTTAACATATTTTTATAATACTTTTTTTACTCAAATCTTAAACGCAATGTTTAACAAGGATGTACGATTTGTGTGTAAAATATTGAACATACTTTAAGATGCCAGCTGTATTAAATATTTTCAACTTAAGGTTTCATTTTCTCAAACTATAAAGATAGATCTAAATTTTACTATCGGTTTTCTTCTTTGCAATATTATATTGTATTTAAACTTATTTGTCTCGCATTTTTGTCATTATCTGAAATTTAGTATTGCTAGGAAACATTTGTATTATCAATGTTTTCGTGTACTTCTTTGCAATCTAACTTAATAGGCTCGCCTGATAAGTCAGTAGTAAGCTCACAGTGATAACATTCAGAGTTGATTCTCCGTGGACAAAGTGCATATAGATCATTGTTTGTTCATTTGTTGAAGTTTTTGCAAAGCTACTGGAGGACTATGTACATCAGCCATCCCTAATTTTGAAGTGATAGACTAGAGAGAGGACATCTAGTTAAATCACCCACCACCAACTCTTGGGTTATTCTTTACCAACGAATAGTAGAAATGACCATCACATTATACGCTCCCATGGCTGAAACAGTGAGCATATTCAATGACGAGATTCGAACCCACGACCCGTAGATTGAGAATCGAGTGCCCTAACCACCGGGTCATGCCATGTCCTGTTTTGCACTAAAAAAAACGACAACTAACCGAATGGGTTGACAAAGATTCGTTGTATCGAGATAAAACAACATAATTATATATTTGATAAGTTTATGAAAAATATAATTAATTTATAGAATAATGTGGCTCTAACGATTAATTGTTATCGGTTTCCTGTCTTTATCGAGAACGAGATTAGTATGAAGCCATTGGCTTATATTTATTTATTAGCGGCCATATTGGGATCTCATAAAACTTCCAAGTGTGGCATTGTGTGACATGATTTTACTACTCAGGGAAGCATGAAAACAGTGGAAATAATAAAATTTCTTCGTGTGTTGCCTTCAGTTGTAGAAATCGGCAAGAGATCATTAGTAGAGGAACGGGAATACATTTCTCAAGTAAATCTATATTTAGAATTTATTGGTTTAGCTTAGACTTTGACCCGAGTTGGCAATACAACATGGGTCACAAGAACTAAATATTCTCTAAATATCACAAAGTAGATCTAGATCCAAAAGTAGAATTTGAAAGCGCATATAGCTTAAACTTCGACTCGTGTATGTGCCATGATTTAAAAGACTGTTTAGTGTAGATATTATTAATTTATCTATTTTGTGAGTTAATATTTTATAGTCGTTTAGTTTTTTTTTTGTTTGTTTTTATAATAAGAGAGTTAAAAGCGGACGATTGTTGGAAGTTGTGTTTATAATTCATTGATGTTAAGACTATCGAACGTCCTGTGCAATATACTGACGTCGAGAATACAGAGATTTCTAGAAGGCGGGTAGACAATTAAGTGATAAACATATAAATATGGTGAGACGAGCGGAAACAACAGAAAAAAAGACAGAGCAGACGAGAAGTAAAGTAAAGTTATGTGAAAGAATTTGGCCAAAGAAAAGTTAAACGCAAAGTTAATAGTCGTAGGAGTGGAAGGCCTAATGGTTGATATACTAGAGTGAGACTAACGGTTTTCAAAGAGATAAGAAGAATAGTTTATTTCGTCAACGAGAGTTCTAAAGTAATTGAACTAGCCTCAGTGGATTTTGACAAGTAGACAAACTACTCTTGGAATTACAAAGAGAGAAAAAGAAGCAGACGATTTTAGAAGTATAAGATACAACCGTGGGAACTCGACGATAAAGTAAGTGAACTGAAATTCTAAAGCAATTGAATAGGCCTAAGTGGACTTTTGACAAAAATTTGATTTGTTTTGGAATTTCGCGCAAAGCTACACGAGGGCTATCTGCGCTAGCCGTCCCTAATTTAGCAGTGTAAGACTAGAGGGAAGGCAGCTAGTCGTCACCACCCACCGCCAACTCTTGGGCTACTCTTTTACCAACGAATAGTGGGATTGACCGTCACATTATAACGCCCCACGGCTGAAAGGGCGAGCATGTTTGGTGATATGCGGATTCGAACCCGCGACTCTCAGATTGTGAGTCGAGCGCCTTAATCCACCTGGCCATGCCGGGCACTTTGACAAGAAGAAGAGAACTATATATAAATAGTGTTTGTGATATGCCTATAATCTATATAGTGTAAATAATGTGTTGTACATACGTTTAACTAGTTCGGAATATATATATTATTTTGAAAACAAGTGGAGTGAGTGCTGTTCGTTTATATTTTTGAATTTTATCACAGACACCTACTGTAGATAACTCCTAAGCCCAACAACAACACATAATATTTACTTATACTTACTTTTAAGAAGTATAAGTAAAAGCCTTTAATTGACAATTGGCGAACATAAATTCGCATTTGACAGTATGCAACCCGACAATACATTTAAGTGGCCTCGAAGACTGTTTTGGTAAGTAAGTATTAAATATCCTCTAGATACTGCAAGGTAGATCTATATCTAGAAGTAGTAGTTGAAGGCCTATACCTTAGACGTAGACACAAGCATGCTACACGACATGTCAATGGACTTGAGGACTGATTCTGAAACATAAATATTTTCTAAATATCGCAAGGCAGATCTGTATTACAGGAATAAGGAAGCCCTCCAATATTGTTTTCAGTCTTAGATAAGTCATTATGAAAATAGTCACTCAATGCTACTTTTTCTTATTTCTTTAGATAGTCTTTGTCTAATTTAGGCCCCTTCTCAAAAAATCAGAGAGAAAGTGTGTGTGTTATATGAGAGAGATTATTAAATAAGAATGGAGAAGTGCATATATAGCATTTACTAACTAAGTTTTAACATGGTTGATTTATTGCAGTATACGTACGAATTATAGAATGGTTAAATAAAGATAACAGCGTCCTCTGGTGAGTCAGGGCAAATCTAGAGCTCCATACCCTGAGGCGTCAGAGCACAGATAGCTTATTATGTAGTTTTGCGCTAAAATATAAATAAATCACGTTACACAGCAAGAAACAAATTTGACTCGTTGGTAATGGTAAGCGTGTTGTTATACGTGGCTTTAGTTATTTATTTTAAATCTTTCTTATTATTCTCTAAGTTTATCTCTTTATTATATAAGTTTAGTTAATAGATAACATAACAAAAATACATTAATGAATAAACATACAACCAATAAATAAATAAATAACTGCACGGCCTCTTCTCTCACTTTTTATTAATTTCCCGCCTGATCCCTTTTATAAATATATATAGATATATATATATGTGATTAATGTTTTATGCCACTCCGAATATAGGTGGCGATGGTTTTATCTGGGGGAAGCCTTGGGCAATCCAGTTGAATACAAAAATCGATGATTGAAATGTATGTCTATAAATATTTCATCACAGCGAAATACGTCAAGGCTCCCTACTGTATTACCACTAGTAATAGTGTTAGCAGGATAAAACAGTAATTGTAATACAGCTGATTCTGTTAGGCTAGAGAACAACTCAAGATTAGAAGTAAAATATTGTTGTGACGCAAAAAATTCAGTATATGATACACATTATCAGAATCAGTTGTGTTATCGCATTAATCTCTGAAGATTAAAAACATTTCGGCATATTTAGTCGTTTCGTGCTTAATAAATTATTTTACAATGTGTTCTACAAACTAGTCGACTTGGTAAGCATAACAATAAATAACTTTATATACAAGCTGCCATCAGCGTGGAATTAGGAAATTAAATGACTGAGCTTTTATTTTTGTTGGGGTTTCTCTTTCTCTGTTTTCCCAAACGAAATCAGAGTGAATAAAGTAGCGATAAATTTAAAATGTAACGAGCAGTAACGACTTGTTTCATCCAATGTTTTTAGTCAGGCCTTTCATCTCTTAACAAAGTGTTTAACAGATAAAAATAAAACTACTCAAGGATCTTATCTGTTTTATGCACCGTGTTCAAATAGAAAGAAATATATATTGTTACGCCTCCAGTCGTTAGTTAATTTTCCGTAAATTCTTTCCGACTAAACTTTAGCGACACAAGTTCTTTTTTAAATAATACTGGTTTATTCTTTCCGGATACAACTTTACGATACACTTAATTTCAACAGTCGCTCTATAACAAACGCTATAACTCACGTCTCACGTGGCCAACAATATTCTGTCCGCATACATTCAATTACTCATTACCTCCCCGTCGCTTCGTGGCCGGTCTTATATATACAAGACTACACTATATCTAGAAGGATCACGAGATTTAAGGAAAAGACGTGAATGTTCGAGAATGACGTGGCGTAATACTAGTCACGTGACCTCGATGTCGTAACACTGCCCCTTCCCTAGTATTGTTTGTCCCGAACAATAGCCACTTACATTAAACCAATAACAATTAATAATAACTTAGTTAAATGTATAGAATTAGAAACACAAAATTACAATTCAACAAAGGCTCTTAATTTTACGGGACGTATCTTCTTCTGTACTGGTCTCCGTCTCATTGGCTTCTGCTTCACGTGGGGTTCATCTGCTTTATCAGGAAATGTCCTATCGTCGGTAACAGTCACATCAGTGGTAGTAACTTCATCAAGAGCTTCACCGTTTCCCTTCTCAAAACTGAGTAGAGTTTCTTCTTCGACAGTGGATTTTTCAGGTGACACATCTTCAGCAGCGTCATTTGTTCCCTTGTTCACTTCGTCCCAACTGAAATGTCCTGGACCATGATAACACCAAAGCCTGTTGGCATGCACCACTTTTGGCTTTTCTCGCCGACCACGTTTTATCTGGAAAGTCACGTTTGAGAGACGATCCACTATGTCATATGGGCTTTCCCTTTGGATCCACTATGTAAAATTGGAC